GACGGTCATACTCGAACACCTTCAGTTTTAGGCGTGCGTGTGCATGACTTGCTGAGCGCTTATGAATCACAATGCGTGTTTCGAGCAACGCAACCGCACCCACTACGTCATTTGAACGTAACGTCAGCTTCGTGGCAACCGTGGCCGAATTGGCCGAAGTCAATCGTCGTGTGCTTTGACACGTTGCTGAACGTTCTGACGAGCGTTTTCATTACGCGCCTACGTAGTCAAGTTTTGTTGTTGCAATTGCGCGTTATCTTTTTACTTTCATGCGCTGGGATCGCGCGCGCGCTCCGCCTTTGGCTCTCTCGCGTAGCGCGCGCACTCTCAGCTGTAAACTTGCTCCATTCCAGAAAACTTGTTTGGCGTGCGCTGCCTCTCTTTCGCACGCAGCTCCAATGCGACAGGCAGCAGCGGCGGCAGCAGCAGCAGCGGCAGCAGCAGCAGCAGCTTATTGGTTTGTTTTGTGTTTGAACTTCTTCCAGTTCTTTTGCTGCGTTCAGAGCAGACGGCGGTCCGCAGTGTCGCCCTCTAGAGTTTGCGTTTTTCATTTAATAACCGTGTTGGTGTGTGTTTGTTTTTGTGTGCACTAGCCAAGTTTAATTAGTGCTAGACACGCCAATTGCCTTTTGCATACATTTTGGCGCCAAGTTCCTTTTTTTACAATAAATACAAGAAAAACCCTCAAAACTCATAATGGCCGGTGGCAGCAAACGTTACTCACGCAACAATTCCAACGGCAACTTTCAGTCGCTGCCCGAACGTGGCCCAGGTAAATGTCAGCTCTAACAACAACTTAAACTTATCAACTGTCTACCTTGATTTACCGTTAAGCGTTATCTATGCTCTGCTGCCGTTCGATTGCCAACGTCAGCAGCGGCGCCAACGTGGCCGTTAAATCGCTGCATGCTCATTCGCCCAAAAGCAGACAACAACAACAACAACAACAGCTTTTTGCATAATTTGCTTTGGGCTGCTTTTATTTATGAGAGCGATCGCTTTTGAATTTTGATTGCCACGTCGAAATGTTGGTTAACGGCGCAGTCAACGAACTTTCAAAGCTTGGCAACAACTACAACAACAAAATACTTAACGAAATTGGCAACGCGAGCATATTCCATCATTTTCTGCCTGCACTTGCAATCACTGCCCATGTGGGAATGTGTGTGTGTGCTTGTGTGTGTGCCTGTGTTTGGTCTAATTCAAGGTTATCTCTATGCCGCATGCCAGCTAAACACACAAAGTGAGATGTGCTCGTGACGTCACAATCACGCACGACAGCTTTGTCAGCGGAAGTTGTTCTTAAACCGAAGACAAGCAGTGAATAAATTGTGAATGTGTTCTCCGACTACATTTGCAACAATATTTAAAACTCACAATTTTTTGTCACATTTTATTCTATATGCGAAAGTTTGTTAAAGCAAGCAGAGCAAGAGAGCACTGCTTGTGCTTTGCCTCTTACGAAGGCTTTATAAGGATCGACCTTACGTAGTGGAAGTTTTTACTGTTAATCCAAAGAGAACAAGCTTGTGCTCATTAGAAAATTAAATGAGCGTGTCACGCTATGAAAGTCTGCTATCTTAGGTTAAAGAGAGCAGAAGAGAGTGCAAGGAACATCGCTGTGCATACATGCACACGTTGCGCTGTATAAAGTCAAAGAGAGCGTAGGTGAGCTGACAAGGCATAGGTGCTTTAGCTTAACGAAAGAAACTCAACACATGTTTTAATTTCCAATATTTTCGTGTGATTTAAACAGAAAGTTCTTTGCTTTTCACAGTACTCACGCTCGCATTTGCGTATCACGCACATCTCTAGCATACACACACACACACACACACACACATGCTTGTGTCTTATCTAGGCACTTTTGCCGCTTCTTCTTTTTACTCCACTTCACTTTCAGTGCAAACTTGTTTTGATTGAAACCAGTTGCCGTTTGCCCAGTTCCCAGTTCCCAGTTAGCCACTTCCAGACCCATCTTCCAGTTCCAGTGGCCAATGCACTTATTTTGATTGTTGTTGTTGTTGGTTTTTTTTTTTTTTATCAACCTACACGCTTTCAATTCGTCGCCTAATTGTGGCGACGTCTCTTTTTCAATAGTTGATAAAGAGACGGCCACAAAAAGAAAACTTTCTCTCGCATCGCTTTCTTTCATATGAGAAAATATGCTCGTATGTCTGATATATATTATTTTTTTTTTTTGCTGTCTCTCTGTAACCCAATTTCGATTTGTATCCCTCACATCTCTTGTTTCCTTTCTAATTTACTGTCGATTTACATAACCCCAAGACTTGGCTGCTTGGCAACTATCTGGCGGGTTTTTGTTTTTACCCACCCCCAAAACTAGTTTAAAAGCTTGATATTTGCTTAGCTGTTGTGTCTATGTGTCTTTCTGCTTTCCATGCTATTCTTCTCTTCTACTTCTTCTTTGGCAATCGCCGCAGACAAAAGCTAATGGAAGATTTCCAATGCTCCCAGAAAATAGGAAAGATCAACAGCAGCTGCTCTTGTTCTTATTCCTGATCTCAAGCACATCAATTTCCAGAGAGCTCCAGCTGTGGGATGACAACGGGGGGGCGAAGGGGCGTGTCAATATTTGATCGAAAGCAAGTTGGCTTTTCGTGTAGAATACAAAATGAAAGATAAGAAAGAAAGAAATCTTTTTCAATAATATTTATTTAACGAACTAAACTAAATACAAGATATTTTTAGAGATTAAGTAATATTGATTTTCTATACAAATCCGTTACACTTGAAAAAGAAAGATTTGAACAATGAATACTTAAATCGATAAATATCGATGTTATCGAAAATAATATTTATTTTACGAATTAAACTAAATACAAGATATTGAGCGTACGAGAAATATTTATTTTCTATAGAAATTCGTTGTACTTAAAAAAGATATATTTGTTTTATGAATATTTTAATCGATAACTATCGATGTTATCGAAAATGAATGAAAATGCTCTGCTTATAATTCGTCAAAATATATATTTAAAATTTCAAGAGTATTTTCTGTGAATGAAAAGTGTTTATTTAATATATATATATACATATAAAATATTATGTAGAAATATGCTTTTGATTGAAGAAAAGTTAAACAAGTTTTTCTAAATTTTAAGCTAAATATTAGATTAATGTATTATCTAATATATCTATATGCTATAAAATGGGCGTAATAAGTTCTAACCTAACAACCCCTTTTGCGCCTGCCAGCTTCTAGCAGGGTATTCACACAGCGCATATTCGAAATGCTTTTTTGTGCTTATTTTGAAAAGTGTTTTAAAAATAGAAGCAAAAAAAAAATAGGGAGAGAAACACATAAAATCGTGTTAAATTAATTGCATTTCAATGGATCTTCGGCAAATTGTTTATTGTTTAAATGTTGTTTTCAACAACAGAGAATTGCGGCTATTTATAGTTGAAATCAATTGAAAAACGCTTCTTAGGCTGAATTCGCTTTCGTCGAAGCGAGTGCATTGACTGCTTATCGGGAAATTCGGTCTATAAGGCATATTTATAAGTAGGAAATATTCGAATAATATTCGCCTTTTTTTTAATGTTTCAATTCACATCCGTTTCGCTCAGTCGTACACTCTCTCTCTCTCTCGCTCTCCCTCTCTCTGTCTTTCCTTATTTTGCGACTCTCTCTCGCTCTCTCTAGCTGCGCGTTTTCCGGCTGGGGTCCGGAAAATTTTTGTTGAGGCAGCAAATAATATTTGTCTAGTATAAAACTTGGCAACGATCGACCGCACGGCGCGCTAACCACGAAACCACGAATAAAATGTCGAGCAGAATCTGTGAGTGAGAAATAGGGTATATATACACGTATTTAAATTATATATAAGTATATATATATATATATATATATGTATATGTACTTATACTATATGCTTGTACTGCTAATCGTGCTACCAATAATTATTACCTGCTGACATTTGCACAATTTATGCTACAGTTTGTTCTCGCACAACGCACTCGATAAGTGCGGGTATATCTCAAAGATTGCATAATTGCCACAGCGAAAGATACATAACACATACATACATACATATACACAGCTGTCCAATAGTCGCCGCCTATGTGTGTGCGTGTGTGTGTGTGTGTGTGTGCTTTTGTATATTTTGGTATTTTCAGTCACTCGTCAATTGTGTTCGCTTTGAAATGATTGAGCAACAAATTAATGAAATAAAATAAAATGAGTGCAAAAGCAGCGGCCGCAGCAGCAGTGCTTGTCAAAGTGTGCACACACATGACTCTAAAACTGCAACTGCGTAGCTAACAACCACTCTCTCTCTCTCTCTCTCTTTCCCTCTCGCTCGCTATCTCTCTCTCTCTTCTAAACTTTACTACACACTGTGTTCAAAATGTTACCAAAGCTTGTCAAAATGCAAGGCAAAATGACTACAAAACTACAATCGTATAAATAGGCATGGATTATACATATGCTTGTCAAAGCGTAGAGTAGAGCATTCGCATCTAAAGAACTACTTCAAACGAAATAAACTAAACGAAGCACTGGTGTGGCTGTCAAACTGTACGTCTGCAAAACTGCGTAACGGCTAGAATCTGCTCTTATTGAAATAAATATAAGCAGTAGCACACGTGATTGTCAAACTGTAAATGTATTCTAGGCGGCAAAACTGTCAGATCCACATTCCTATATTCTAGTTCTGAAACAGATTGATAACTGAAATCAAGCGATGCTTGTTAAACTGTTTATATACCCGAGCTGGCGCTATAACTGTAGCGGTCAACACATATGCAGTTCAAACTGTAAGCAGAATCTAAAACTGTAAGAGCCAAACTTCTGAATTCACTTTCATATTGATAAACTGAAATCTGGAGATGCTTACAAGTGCCTATTAACTTTACTGCTTCTCAAACTGTTGCAGTTAGCCAATATGCTTTTCAAACTATATATATACCAACCCTAGCTAACTCTAAAACAGTAACAGCTAAACTAACTAATTGTCTCTGTGTTCACTTTCTTTCAGTGGAATCCCTCATCTACTGGCGTGATGTGAAAAAGTCCGGCATTGTCTTTGGCGCCGGCCTTATCACACTGGTTGCCATCTCCTCTTTCTCCGTGATAAGTGTGTTTGCGTATTTGTCGCTGCTGGCGCTCGTCGGCACCGTCGCCTTCAGAGTCTACAAATCCGTGACACAGGCCGTACAAAAGACAAACGATGGCCATCCCTTCAAGTGAGTGCACATTGATCTATGCATATAAAACGGATTCTGATTGACTGATTGAGTGAATGACTGATGGATTGAGTGACAGACTGATTAAGTGACTGATTGACTGACTGGCTAACGTATTGATTGAACGACTGATTGATTGAGTAGCGTATTGATTGAACGACAGACTGAGTGATTGATTGAGTATGTGATTGATTGACTAACAGACTGTCGTATTGATTGAACGACTGATTAACTAACGTATTGGTTATATGACAGATGGATTGAGTGACAGTCTGATTAAGTGTCTGATTGACTGACTGACAAGCGTACTAATTGAACGACTGATTGACTGGGACTAGCGACTTGACTTGAAGAACTGATTGAATGACTGACAGTTTGAGTAACTAGCGTATTGGTTATATGCCAGATGGATTGAGTAACAGGCTGATTAAGTGTCTGATTGACTGACTGATTGAGTGACTGACTGATTGACTGGCAGATTGAATTTGCCTAGTTTCGGGTTGAAGCGCATAAACAACGATCTTAAACATGTATTTTATTTTGTTTAGAGAATATCTGGAACTGGATCTGACGCTGTCCCAGGAGAAGGTACAGCACTTCGCCGGCGTGGCTGTGGCACACATCAACGGCTTTGTTGCGGAGCTGAGGCGTCTGTTCCTGGTTGAGGATATTATCGATTCAATTAAATTCGGTGTCATTCTGTGGGTGTTCACCTACATTGGCGCCTGGTTCAATGGCATGACCCTGGTCATTCTGGGTAAGTGCAGAGCTCTTTTACATGGAAATCGCATGGATATTAATTATATATTCGTATATCCATAGCCTTTGTCTCGCTGTTCACCTTGCCCAAGGTCTATGAGAACAACAAGCAGTCGATCGACACCTATTTGGATCTGGTGCGCAACAAGTTGACGGAAATCACCGACAAGTAGGAATCACATAACCAAATGCCATAGGTTCAACCTAAACTGATGATTTTTCCCTACCTTCATTTATTCCCACAGAATCCGGGTGGCTCTACCCATTGGCAACAAGAAGCCTGTGGCTGCTGCTGCTGCCGAGTCGGACAAGGACAAATAGAAAGCAACAACAATAACAACAGCAACAGCAACAGCAACAACATGTTTATTTATTTATTAAGCATTATTTGAATGGTTTAATATTCATCCGGGGCATAACAATTAAATACATATATTCAATTGTATAATTACAATTTTCAAACAAAAAAACAACAACAAGAACGAACAACATCTTGCTATTGTGAACCCAAAACATAAAACTAAAACTAAAAAAAAAAGAAAAAACATTTAAGTAAAGAATATCAACTCGTAGCAGTTTAAACATTGTCCAAGTGTCTTTAAGTTTTTTAAACGAACGAAACCAATTTGAAATTCAGATGAAACAAAAACAAACAAAACTGTTTAGAAAAATGAAATGAAAACAACAAAAAAAACAACAACAAAAACACAGCCACAGCAATGCAATTAAACGCTTCCTCAGTTTCCAAACAATTTCTTTCGAGACTCTTAACGAAAAGCAAACTTTTTAATACATTTACGATTTAGTTAAAATATGCATACGAAAAGAAAACTATGCAAAAGTCTTTTGAAAACAAGAAAAAAAAAAAACAATCAACATTTTACACCCATTTTTATTAGCTTTTTTTCTAATTAAAAACTCTTTGCTTTAGTTCTAATTTTAATTTTGTTGATTTCTTTTTTTTTGATAAAAAAAAAAATCAAAATAAAAAACAAGTGAAGTAAACAATTACAAACAATTATGATTTTCGATTGTTTTCGTTTTATACAATATATATTATTTTCGATTTTGAACATTTTTAGCGTAAACTGAAGCTGGCTGATCCTTTCGCTTTCGTCCTTGCAACTCAGCCTTGATAGGATGGCCTGATTAACAATTGGACCAATTTGTTTATAGAGAACATTACGAGTTGCGCGCTTGATCGAGAATCGCAAATCGAACAGATTATCGAGCACATAAATTTACACAAACAGCTTCGCCTTGTTTCATACAACATTTACTTATGTACAATTAATTTATAAGAATTTTTACAACATAAATCAAATATTTAATGTGAATTTTTTTGCGTAGCACAGCAAGTTGAGTTTTTGCCAACGTTTTAAAGTTCATATTCATAAAATCATATACATACATCTATTGTAGCTTAAATGTTTTTATTGTAACCATTTGTTGCTCATTGTTATAAAAAGAAAAAACTGAAACGAAAAAAAAAACAACACTAAACAAAAGAAAAGATATTAATGGAAGTGCATATTTATGATTTGCGTTGCTTTCGATGAATAAAACGTTTGTCAAGTGCAGCTATTAAGCAGAAGGAAATATAAAGGACTACTGATAACATTTTAGGCGTCGTTTTTCTCCCATATAACTACGATAACAATAGATATTTTTGCATATTATAAAACACTTAAAACGATATTTCTATATATGTATGTAATATGTAAGTGAATACAAAAAGTATAAAAAAAAAAATTCATAAAAGCGATAAATGAAAACGAAATTTTCAAGTGCAAATCAACTTTCCGAGGATTCGATTCGATCCTATATAAACGATCTTATACACGAATATCACGTAAATGTGCAGTAAGCTATATGCAAGACAGAGAAAGACATGTTCTTACTTATTACATTCAAAAAATGAGAGCATTAATCAGTTGATTTGATCGTATAAATTTCAATAAAAATACAACTTAAATAAAACTAAATTTAAGACCGTTTAAATTCTTAGAGCTGGCGCGTCAAATCAAACAGCTTTTGTTCGTGCACAAAAGCTGTTTGATAGCTGCTGTTTGCAAAGCTGAACGCTAGAGGGCTGCCAGCATGGCCAGCCAGAAAGCAAACAAAAAGCATATAACGCTCTGTCGGAAAAAAATAATAAACAATACGCATGTATGACCTTCGTACAAGGTGACTGGGACACACTGCGCGCACGACCAGCACGAGGGCGACAGGCAGAAAGAGAGAGAGAGAGAGAGAGAGAGAGCGAGAGGCAAAGTGTGTAAAAGCGCCAGAGAGTCATAGAAAATGCATGGAAAGCGTTGCATGAAATGCACTTAACATTAACATAAATTTTGCCAATGCCAATTGGCGAACGAACAGAGAATTCCACTCGCTGATAAGACACAAAACGCAGAGACAGCCTTAAGCAGAGTTGTTTACAAGAGCGAACGCAACGAAAGAGCGAAAGCTTCTCGGAAAGCGAATGAGAAACGTACGTGTTACCCCGCTAACAAAATACCCTGCACTAAGTGGCATACATGTAAAAGTAGTCGAATAATTGCATGCATCAGCAATGTAAAAAGCTTTGAACAAATATATAAATCGATATTGAATAAATGTACACTTAATTGCAGATCAAATAAACACTTTAGCAGCAGTGTCGCATACACTAGCAATGGACACTATATACCCCACAGCTTGGCGGCAGCTGGGTAAGAAAAGCTCTCGTGACTAATAACGCAAGCGAAAAGTACACGCCGTCTGAGAAGTGCTCCGGATTTTGCAGCGAACGGTTGTTTTTTTGGTCGCGCGCATCGTTCACGTCTTCGCTGTTTCGCGTATTAAATTCGTCTTATAGTTTTTCCTACACGCACCCACGCAGCAGCAGCAGCAGCAGCAAGAGCAGCAGCGGCAGAGGCAGAGGCAGAGCAATTGACAGGCAGATAGAAAACCCGTGAAGCAACTACCTCAGTTAGCAGCAGAGAGTCGAAGGCGCAATGTCGAAGCCACAATCGGACGCGGATCGCAGGAAGCAGATATCGGTGCGCGGCATCGCTGAGGTGGGCAACGTAACCGAGGTGAAGAAGAACTTCAATCGCCATTTGCACTACACCCTCGTCAAGGATCGCAATGTGGCCACACTGCGCGACTATTACTTTGCGCTGGCCAACACTGTCAAGGACAATATGGTCGGACGCTGGATACGCACACAGCAGCACTATTACGAGAAGGATCCCAAGGTTAGTCAGTGTTACCAGCCCCTTTTGCGATTATTGATTTTATGCGAGTGCGTGTGTGTGTGTGTGTGTGTGTGTGTGCTGGCTGGTATTTTCCAAGAACAAAAAAAGAAAATACCTAACCCAACTTTTGTTGCGCCTTTGGCAAAAAAAGGAAACGAGGTCAATGTTAAAAGGCTTTCTTCATTTTGTTCTTATTTTTTTTTTTTTAATTTTTTGCTATTACGACATGCATTTTGCGCTCTGCGCTTTCGGCCTATATTCGTATTTGTCTCTCTCTGCAGTTGGCCAAAAATTGTTTTTTTTTTTTATTAACTTCTCTTTTATATGCATTTTTGTTTTCTTTCTGTTGCACCTGCTTTATCATCTGCTCGTTTATTTTGCTTTCCTTTTCTGTTGTTTTTTTTTTTTTGCTCTTTCAATTTTCGTGTCGAATTGTCTCTAATTGCTGGCTGCAAATTTGGCTCAAATGCATTGGGATCAATGCCAAAAACGTGTGTATGCCAGGCCAGAACGCTTTCACTGCGTCGCTGTCGGCATGGGGTGGACCAAAATTGCGTGGGCCAAAAAGCCGGTGGCCCAGTCTTTCTCCACGAGCAGCTGACTCGAACCAGAAGGGGTTCAAAACCAAAATAAAAATAACTTTTGGTTGGCAATCAGACACACACACACACACACTTAGATAAGGAGAGTGAGAAAGAGGGCGGGAATGTAAAATATGTTTTTTATATGTCAAAGTAATTTGTGTACCCTGTATATGATTGATGTGGGTAAATGGGGAGGTAAGACAGCTAGAGTTTGTTAATTTATGAAATATGCATTCTAATTTGCAATTAGTAAAAAAATTTTCAGCACAATATTTTAGAGGGTCAAAATAAACTCTTGTTCAAAGTAAATAATATTTCCAGGGTATATATAATATGTTTTATGTATATTAACAAGCTACTATATCACTCCCTACAGGATATTTCAGGGCATACCATTTACCTTAATTATTAAAAATGTTGTGACTTAGCTAGCTTGCTGCTAGTTAAGCGACTTTCTGCTGCTAATTGGGCATTTACAGGGTAGCTGCTAGTCGAACATCTGCGCATATTATTGCTGCTAGAACAGAATATGATTGTTAAATGAACTTCTTTGGCTAGCTATAGAGTCTATGCACTGTTGTAGCTTATGTCCAGGGTATCTTATGGTCTAATACTTCCGCTTACAATTCGTACAGTTTTCTTGACAATCTATCAGCGCCGTAAGCCATAAATCGAGCTAATAAACGCTGAAAGCAGATATTAGCACGCTCCAGTAAAAGTTGAGGCATTTACATACATATATACATAGGTATCCATCAGATACACACACACACACACATACAGATACAGATACACCTATGCCAGTGCAATCACGTGCGGCAGGCGTGCAATTTTCGCGAATTTCTGGATGGCAACTTTGTCCTTGCCTGAATGTCAGTCAATCGGAGAGGGAAAGTTTGCGTTTGTATCTTTGTATCCATAAGATACATTTGCATATGCCGCAAACAGCTGTTGAATAAATTGTGAACGCACGCGGAATTCTTTAGAAAAAAAAACCAAAAAAAATTTGGTCAATTTAACTAATTTAGAGTCCGATATTCGAACAAAAGCAAAAAACAATTAGAACATGAAACATAGATACATAAATGCTAATATAGGCACAGCAGACACCCAAGTACACACACACACACACACCCAAGCACACACACACACACACGCACAGATATAGACACATATTTTCAAGGTCAAGCAAAGGTTATTAACAAAAACGAGAGTCAGGAAAATTTTCATTTATTTCGTTTTTATTTTTTTTTCATGTGTTCGCTCTAGTTTTTCGTTTTAGTTGTTCTTGTTGTTGTGTAATGTGTGTGTGTGTGTGTATGTGCGTGTGTATTTATTTTGGTTCCATGAAAATGCGACAATGGTGGAAATTTTCATGGTGCTCGTTTATGTTTTGTTACACTCTCATTACGCACTTACATGCTATCCATTATACCCCCAACCAATTTATATATATTAATATATATCTATCTAACAGATGTATCTAAGTATCTGTTGTCTGTGCCTAGCTACATAGATGTGGAACAAGCTGAAACTAGCTACACTTAAAGCTAATTGAGTCCACTTCTTTTATGGTTCCTACTCGATTCTTAAAAAGTTGCCAATTGAGTGGCTGCCTCCAATTGACGATGGGTCAAAAGGGGTAAACGAACTCTATTCAAAAATATTTCCCTAAATTATATGTAAGAAAGCGGTCAGCAGAGATACTCAAAGATATTATATCTATATGTGCTATATACTATTGTTGTGCAGTTAACAATTTGT